AAAAAAAAAACAAAGTCGTACCCGCCACTTGGCGGCCAAACGGAGTCAGATAACGCCCTTGAGTGTTGCCAGAGCGCCGCCTCTCATGGCGGGCAGGCGGGCAGACGAAGGGCCAGCTCGGTTGGGTCTCTCTACACTACTACAGGAGTGCTAAAAAACCGAAAATGTATCTTTCCATGTTCCATGCGAGGATTCGGTCTCATGCCTTCAAGTTTGGAGAGTTGCCACAGAGCTCTTCCTTCTTCCCGCCGTGGGAGGCGGGCCTCTGACAGCGCTGAGGTCTCTGGAAGAAGAATTGGTCCGACTTGTGCAAAATAATACTGAATCGACCCCTAGAACATGGAAAGATACATTTACATCTTTTTTGTCTTTTGGTTTACTTTTTAGACTGAAATCTCCCCTCCAACATGGAAAGATACATGTGGGGAGACTGAATCATCTGCTGGAACGTGGAAAGAGGTACACCGCCATTTTTATTTTTATTTTTTATTTTTCCGCCATTTTTTTTGTTCTTCCTTCTGCCCGCCGTGAGAGGCGGGCCTCTGACTGAGCTGAGAGCACCCTTCTTGCCTTTTTTAGTTGTTTTTTTTCTTTTTGGCAGGAGTTAGTTGGCCGTTTCTCACTTGTGGCCGGCGTGGGCTAATGTACGAGTGAAAACAGCTACCCCGTTTCTTACCAGCTGCTGGTTGCAGGTCCAGCACAAGGGCGGTACCTGTGCCAACCACAAAATGCCCCCTACCGGTTCCGGCCCCTTCCAGGCTCGGCATCAATAGCTGGGCCAAGTACTGGTGGTTTAAACCACCAGTACTTGGCCCAGCCATTGAAGCCGAGCCTGAATATGCCCTGCGCGCCAATTTTCGCCGAGCCTGCGGGGAGTGGGAAAAAATATGGGACATCTGCTGCTGCGAGCAGGTACCGCCCCTTCCTTTAGACCTGCTGCCAGCAGCTGGAATGTAAACAGGCCGTCGTTTTCTTGTTTCCACTCACGCATTCAATGCTCCCGTGAAGGATCTTCTTCCAAAAAAAAAAAAGCCAAAAAAAAAGAAAGAGAGAAACGTGAACAGCGTGCAGCAGTGAAGCCAGATACATGCGTCGAAGTTGCGAAGTTGCACTGCCAGTGGGACCTGAGGCAATGAATGCTCCCCGTCTCTCATGGGGAGCAAGTGCAGAAACAGCCAACTATTTTCCTATCAAAAAAAAAAAAAAAAAAAAAACGAAAAGGGGAAAACGGGAAACAGGCATCTGAACGTGATTGGCCTGAGAATCATACACCGCCTTGCAGCAGTGAAGCCAGATACATGCGTCGAAGTTGCAACGTCACACTGCCTCTGGGACCTGGGGCATTGAATGCTCCCCGTCTCTCACGGGGAGCAAGTGCAGAAACAGCCAACGATCTTTACCAAAAAAAAAAAAAAAAACGAGAAGGGGGAAACGGGAAACAGCATCTGAACGTGATTGCCCTAAGATTCATATAACCCCGTGCAGAAGTGAAGCCAGATACATTCTTCCACCCCGCCCCCCCCCCAAAAAAAAATGAAAAGAAAGGAAAGCAACCATCTATCTTTATTTTTTCCTCGTCGGTTTTCTTTTTTGTTTATTTTGCCTCCTTGCTACCACGGCAGGATTTGGGTCACTAATGTGCCACACAAATTCGTTTCTGTCCTATCCCGTTGCTAGTGGGACCATGCTCCAGATGGAGCGATTTCAAAAAAAAAAAAAAAAAAAAAAAAAAAAAAAACGGAAAACGATCGCAGCCCGCTTTTTTTTATTTTATTTTTATTTTTATTTTTTTCTAATACAAACCCCACAAGACCCCCGCGGCAGGGGCCACAGCAGTAGAAGCGTACAAGGTACTTTTTTTTTTTTTTTGGTTATATCTTTTGTGCGTCGCAAATTCTCGCAATTCTCAGTGACCGACCCGTTCATTTGAACAACCCCCCTCAAATGCGGCGTGTTAATGGGACACGCCCGTCGCCCGCGGCCCATAGCTGGCCCAAGTACTGCTGGTTAAAAAAAAATAAAAAATTATATGCCCTTTCCGTACAAGGTTTGTACAACGCAGTTGTACTTACCTCACCGCAAAATGCCGCCAACCGCAAGCATAACGGCACGCAACGTGCAAGCCTCGTCGGCAAATCATGAAAACGTGACGTGCAAGCCTCGAGTCCACAACTGAAGGCTTGCTCAATCGATGCGCAAGCCTTTGGTGCCACATTCTTTTATAATGTGGTGGCAGCGGTGGGCTGTGGACTTCAGTGACTGCTGAAAACAGTTATGGGACACATGGTGCATGCCGTGTGCCCTTTCTTTCTTCGTTTGTTTTTTTTTTCATCGTTTCCTTTTTTTTTTTGTTTCCTTTTTTCTTTTCTTGGTTTCTTGGATACATGGGAATGAGTGTATGATGTTTCCAACTTTCCACATACCGGTTACTTGTTCATCCTCGTGGCTGTGTTCATGGACACATTTTATTGCCACGGTACATCCGACCGTACTAATCCCAGATTTCGGGTGCATAGCTGTTCTTCTTTGCTCGTAAAAAAAAAAAAAAA